TGGCATGTGTCAGTGCTTCATTCCTTTTTTTTATTTTTATTTTTTTCAGTACGTGGGCCTCTCACTGTTGTGGCCTCTCCCGTTGCGGAGCACAGGCTCCGGACGCGCAGGCTCAGCGGCCATGGCTCACGGGCCCAGCTGCTCCGCGGCATGTGGGATCTTCCCGGACCGGGGCACGAACCCATGTCCCCTGCATCGGCAGGCGGACTCTCAACCACTGCGCCACTAGGGAAGCCCTCATTCCTTTTTTATGACTGAATAATATTCCATTGTATGGATAGACCACCATTCATCTGGTGATGGACACTTGGGTTGCTTCCACTTTTTGGCTGTTGTGAATAATGTTTTTCCGAACTTGGGTGGAAAACAATCTGGCAGTTCCTCAAGTTGTTACCACATGACAGCAATTCTGCTCTTAGGTGTATATCAACTGAATTTTTGGATTCTCATTTTTGGAGGTAGGGGGGTGGCTTCTTTTGGTGGAAGTGTTTGATAATTCCTATCTGTGCCCATGCATTTCTGTGTAGAGAGCTGTTGGCTTTGGGGTGATTTGCACATTTCTTGTTCAATGTATTCCTAAATATATATTTAACACTTGTGATTGCTACCATAAAGTTTTTAGTACAAGGGTGCCCTCTGCTGTCAGGGTAATGAAGTACAGCTTTTTACTAGATGACTAGCAAATAGGGGGAGTTTTAAGTCCTTGATTTTTTTTTTCTTTTTTTCTTTCAAAATCCTCATTTTTCTTTCTCTCTCCTTTTTCCCTTCACCATGCAGTATACAAAAGGTACCTCTCCCCTTTAATTTCAATTCTCTTCTCTCAAAGGAGGGTCACGTTTCCAAGACCGTAGTAGTCAGTGCCCTGATGTGTCTGAATGCTTTTTTACTATTTTCACACCTTTCTTTCTGGTGGTGGTTTTCACACAACTACTATGTATAAAATAAATAAGGTAAAATGATATATTGTACAACACAGGGAATATAGCCAATATTTTATAATAACTATAAATGGAGTATAACTTTTAAAAATTATGAATCACAGGACTTCCGTGGTGGCGCAATGGTTAAGAATCCACCCGCCAATGCAGGGGACACGGGTTAGGAGCCCTGGTCCGGGAAAATCCCACATGCCACGGAGCAACTAAGCCCGTGCGCCACAACTCCTGTACTCTAGAGCCCGTGAGCCACAACTGAGTCCACATGCCACAACTACTGAAGCCCATGCTCCTAGAGCCCGTGCTCTGCAACAAGAGAAGCCACCGCAATGAGAAGCCCAGGCACCGCAAGGAAGAGCAGCCCCCGCTCGCCGCAACTAGAGAAAGCCCGCACGCAGCGACAAAGACCCAATGCAGCCAGAAAAATACATAAATAAATTTTTTTAAAAAATTGTGAATCACTATGTTGTACGCCTGAAACTCATATAATATTGTAAATCAGCTATACTTTAAGTCCAAAGGACTTTTACCTGAACCGTCTGAGACTAAGTTGCAGACCTGATGCCCCACCATCTAAATCCTGATGGTTTTTCCTGCAAACAAAGACGTTCTCGTACATAACCACAGTGCAATCAACGAAATCAGGACATTAATATAAGGCTGCACCGTCTTTAGAGGTTATGTGGGAGACACGTTCTCATGCAGTTGCCACAGTCTCCAGCTACCCAGAAAGCCCAAAATATTAAATAAAACCTTCATTATAGATGAGTGACCCTCTGCCCATGGATTCTCCACAGCTGGTCTCATATTTCATGCCCAGTCTAACTCCCCCGAAATCCACTCCCAGGTATGGTCCCCAGGTTCATCTCAGCCAGACCCTGCAATGCACCAGCGTGTGAGCTGGGATTCGCCACAGGTGATGAGGCGGACCTCGAGATGATGAACATCATCTTGTGAGGCACCTGCTTGAGGAAGGACCACGACCATCCCTCAAGGGGTGCTGGTCTCCAGCAACGGGGGTGTTCTCAGGGAAACTGAGCAGCTCAAGATCTTCAGGTTCGTCCACACCAATGACCCAATCCCAGGTCTCAGGTGGGTTCCAAGAATGCTTACTTCATTTCCTTGGAAGCTCTGCCACTGTGATAAGAAGACCCCTCGCCGGATTTTCAGCAGCGCCTGCCCTGCAGCTTCAGGAGGACCTCTGGGTTTCGTGACATGTCTTCCATAGGAGATAGGCTGCCCTGAGTCAGTCGCCTGTACTGTTTTCCGTTACGACCTGTTTCCCAGCACCTTGCCTGTCAGCTGCACTCCACCCCAATGAAGCCCAGGTGAGAACAAGCGAGGCCCCCGTGTGCTGGTGACTAGCTCCACCTGACCCCACCCTCGGCTCGCTCACAGACCCACAAACATATCCAGATCCGCCTCCATCCGTGGTTCTCGACCGAAGGCGAGTTTCCCTCCTCGGGGACGTGGGGCAATGTCTGCAGACAGTTCTGGGGGTCTCACCCGGCTGGTGGGGGCTACTGGCATCTGGTGGGTAGAGACCAGGACTGCTGCTCGACATCCTACAGCGCACAGGACAGACCCCTGCCCCACAGCAAAGAATTATCCGGCCCCAAGTGTTAGCAGCGCTGGTGTTGGGAAACCCTGTTTGAAGTCCGTTACCTTCTGCCTTTCCCTGGGGGGCTTTTGTGGGTTCTAAGATGAGCGCATGACCTCAGCCCAATTTGACAAATAAAAGAGAAATGCTTCTCTCCCCGTCACGGGGCAAAAAACAAGAAAACAGGTGGCCCAGATTGGCTCTGACAGTCATCTCGTGACCCACCCCCCAAAGAGACTGCACTAGTTTCTTCCTCCGGCTGCTGTAACAAACACCATCACCTTGGTGACTTAGAACAACATAAATGTATTCCCTCACACTTCCAGAGGCCGGAAGTCCAAATTCAAGGTGGCGGGGCTGGGCGGGGTGGGGAACACACCCTCCAGCAGCTCTGGGGGAGATTCTGTTCCTTGCCCTTTGCAGCTGCTGGGGGGTCCAGCCATTCCTCGATTTGAGGCTCCGTCACCCATCTCTGCCCTCAATCCCCTCATTGCTTCCTCCTCTGCTCTGTCTTCTAAGGACACTTGTTGGATTTAGGTTCCACCCAGATAATCTAGGACAATCTCACCTCGAGATCCCCAATTACGTCGGCAAAGCAACTTTTTCCAAATTGGCTCCCGTTCACAGGTATTTGGAGTTAGGACTTGGACGTATCTTTTAGGGGGAGGCACCCCACCATTCAACCTGTTACAAACACCCAGCCTTGGAATGACGTTGCACTGGTAACTGTCAGACCGTCATCTTGCAGTAGGAATCTTGACGATGTCACTGAACTCAAAGCCTGCCACACCCCTGGGCTTCTACTTCTGTGAAATAGTGTTCCTTCTTGCTTTTGCCTGGGGTGAAAGTCAGCTCAGCTTACATCCTTTGAGTATGTCCTGTCATCAGCAGCCCAAGGCATCCTGACAGAATTCCCAAGCCCCAGAGTGAGGTGTGAGGATTTGACCCTGACTTGGTTTCCCTTTGTGAAGAACCCACCCTCTGAAGCACTGTCCTTTCACGTTGCATTCCCGGGTCTGTTTATTCCTTTGCACCATCTCCTCTCTAGGCTTCTGTGGCTCTGGGTTTTGTTTTGCATTGTTTTGTTTGAGACTGGTTTCTATCATCTTTCATCAGTCTGAAGGTCGTAGCTAGGTTTGTGAATCACCTCAAAGCCTTCAGAGAAGTAGACGGCGATTAGGTTGATGTGTGAGTTAACATTTGTGATCCTTGGGGTTTCCGTTTCAGAAAGGAAGCAGATATTGGTTGTGAAGGTTTGTGGTTAGCATTAGCCCTGAGGTGTGTTGCTCACACCTACATAATAGACAAATCGCCCTGTGATTAGCTGTTCTCCTGGGCATTTAGACCTCTAACGCTCCCCCCAAAAAGAAAGTGGGTTCTAGAATCAGACTTTGAATTCCAGCTCCTCTTCTTGCTAACACACTCTCAAGTTTTTTTCTTCTTTTTTAGCGGGTAGGGAGTTTGTGATTTTAAAAATCTGTTCTTCCCAGTCAATTTGCTTGCAAGCCACACTAGTGAAGCTGACTCCTTTTTTTTTTTTTTTTTTTTTTTTTTAAATTTCTTTTGGCCTCGCCACGTGGCATGTGGGATCTTAGTTCCCTGACCAGGGATCGAACCCATGCCCCCTGCAGTGGAAGCGCAGAGTCCTAACCCCTGGACTGCCAGGGAAGTCCCTGAAGCTTATTCCTCTTTATTTGAGCAGAAGGGAACGCATGGGAAGTACACTGGGGGTGCTAAGGAAGCAGATTTTGAAAGGGACAGAGCGGTAGGCAGAAAAGAGGGTCCTCCCAAACGTGTCCACATCCTAGTCCCCAGAACCCTGTTACTTTACAAGGCAAAGGGGGGATTAAGGTGGATGATGGGATTAAAGTTGCTAATCAGCTGACTTTAAAGGAGGAAGATGATCCTGGATTATCCGGATGGGCCAAGTGATATCACAAGAGTCCTTAAGAACAGGAGATGGAGGCAGAAGCGGGAGAAACAGAGAGATGGCAGCGTGAGAAGGACCTGGCCTGCCACTGTCTGCTCTGCAGATGAAGGGGCCACAGGCCAAGAAGTGCAGGCGCCTCCAGAAGCTGGAAAAACTAAGGAAACAGGTTCTCCCTGGGAGCCTCCAGAAGGAACCATACCTGTTCACTCTTTTTTTTTTTTTACTTTTATTTGAGTATAGTTGATTTACAACGTTGTGTTGGTTTCAGGTGTAGAGCAAAGTGATTCAGTTATACATACACACGTATTCATTCTTTTTCAGATTTTCTCACACAGGTTATCACAGAATACTGAGTGGTATCCCTGTGCCATACAGTAGGTCCTGGTTAGCTAGCTTATATAGCAGTGTGTGTATGTCAATCCCAACCTCCTGATTTATCCGTCCCCATCACACACACGTTTCCCCTCTGGGAACCGTAAGTCTGTTTTCTGATATCTGTAAGTCTGTTTCTGTTCTGTAAATAAGTTCGTTTGTATCATTTTTTAATTAGATTCCACATATGATGATATCATATGGTATCTTTCTCTCAGAACTGTTCGCTCCTTGCGTTCAGCCCAGAGAGGCCCACTTCGGGTCCCTCCAAGGGCCGCCCACAGCATGGCAGCTGGCGAGTGGGGATGGGAGGGAAGGTCGTGATCCCAGGCATCCTGTTTCCGCAGTGGTTCCTCCGCACCATGCTGTCCCCGGCGTGACGCGGCGATAACAAGGCCAGGTCTGAGTCGGTCTGTTCCTGGAGGGCATCCCCAGCACCTTGCCAGGGTCTGGCACACAGAAGGTCCTCAGTAAACGTCCAACGGCAAGGAATATGCAGCGGCCACTCTCCAAGCCCAGCGATAACTCACGGCCATCCAATGAGGTAGTCAGGTTATTCCGCACAGTTTACAGCTGGAGAAACCAAGGCTCAAGAGGAGACTGGAGGTGTGCAAGGTCCAACGGGGGACCATGAACTCAAGCATCAGCCAGACAACTTGCCCATGGCCATCCAGGCCCCCACATGGCCCACACCAGAGGGAGCTGATGCCGCACCCCAAAATTCCTGGTTTGGATTCCCAAGGGAGGCATCTGATGGCCCAGCTCACCTGTTGGCAGCAGGGCACACTGTACCAGCCAGCCCCTGGGTCAAGTGCTCACCGGCTGTCCAATCCACTGTGGCCAGAAAAGGGGCAATACTGCCACCTAGAGGACGCTTCAGGCATGGCAGCCAGCATTCTTTGGCCAATACTGCCACCTAGAGGGTGCAGTGGCCATGGCAGCCAGCATTCCTTGGCCAATACTGCCACCTAGAGGGTGCTTCAGGCATGGCCGCCAGCTTTGGTTGGTTGCTGTTCCACCTTGGTGACTGCCTCCCTGGTGGCTTTCATACCTGCTCCAAGGAGTTATTTGGGGAGGCGCTGTCCCCTCTCAGAGGATCCATAGGACATCTCCAAGCCCACAAGGCGGGCACTCTCAGCCCAAAGCCTCCCGGCTACCTCCTCATCCTCAGCTTCCGGGGCCGGAGCCTTCTCTTTGAGTCCCTCAAAGTACTTTCCAGAAACGCCCTCCAACTCCTCCGCCACAGCCAGGTAGGTGCTGGGCTGGGCCGCCAGCTGGGGGCTCTTGACCAGCAGCCAGAAGATGGGCCCTGCATCGGCCCACAGAGAGTTCAGTCCACACATTCAGAGAGGAAGATACAGAAAGCCCAGCACCACCCCAGGTGCCTCAGGGCCCACAAAGGCCAGAAGTTTCCCTGGAGTCCCACAGAGCTCTCCTCCAGGCCTTTACCCCTCTGTTTCCCAACACCAGGAGCTCCCTTCCCTGGCACTGCCCAGACAAATAATTCCAGATGCAGGGACCAGCTTGAAAGCTGCCTCCTCCAGGAAGCCCCCCTGGCTTTTCCCAGGCAAACAGAAGGTCCCCCTCCTCTATGTCAGCCCCAAGTCCTCATCCCACCTGATCTTTCTTTAAAGTAGCTTCTGTGTATTGAGTGTCTCCAGTGCCAGCTTCAGCTTAAGGTCCCTGATACCTAGCCCCCACCAACTAAATGTTTTTCAGGATTATAAACACTAGTTATAAAGCTCTAATTATTTATTCGGCCAGGAATTGTGCTGGCTCTTTTAGGGAAGTCTCATCTAATCCTCCCCACTGAGGCAGGTACTATTATGACCCTCATTTTGCAGATAAGGAAAGGGAGTTTCGGAGAGAAGTCACTTTGCTGGGTGGCCCAGCTAGTTTGGGATGAAACTGGAGTTAGCCCAAGCATGGCCAGACTTCAGGAAGTCAGCTCCATGACCTCCACCTCTGAAACAGTCTCATCAAACAGGCTCTGGCCTGTTTCCCGGGGCTATTCTGAGGCTGGCAGGCTGGGCAGACATATGAAAGTGACTCAGTACCAGGGAAGATACAGGGCAGGGGGCAGAGCAAAGCCCCTGAGATAGTCTCTGAGTGTGATGTTAATCTTATGTGTGAACTTGACAGGGCTAAGGGATGTCCAGAGAGCAGGTAACGTTATTTCTGGGGTGTCTGTGAGGGTGTGAAGAGATTAGCATTTGAATCAACAGACTATGTAAAATCCACCCTCACCAATGTGGGTGGGCACCATGCAGTTAGTTGGGGGTGAAAACAGAACAAAAAGGTGGAGAAAGGACGAATTCTCTCTCTCTCCTTGAGCAGGGACATCCATTTCCTCCTGGCCTCAGACACTGGCGCTCCTGGCCTTCGACTTGGACTGGGACTTACGCCATCGGTTCCCCTGGTCCTCAGGCCTTTGGGTTTGGACTGCAACTACACCGTCAGCCTTCCTGGGCCTCTGGCATACAGATCAGATCCTGGGACTTCTCAGGCCCCACAGATGCATGAGCCAATCCCCCCTAATAAATCTCTCTAAATATCTATGTACATCCTATTGGTTCTGTTTCTCAGGAAGACCCTAATACACTGAGGGAGGGTCCTGAGCCCCAAGCTAGGAGGACAGGGGTTCAGTTAAGGGACCCCAAACTGGGAGGGGACTTACCGAGCGTGAAGCTGGAGAAGGTGGAGCTGTGCATGCCCGTGTGTCTGCCCAGCTCTGTCCTGGCCACGCCAGGGTGCAAGGCATTGACAGTCACACCCGTGCCTGGGGAGAGAAGGAAAAAGTGAGGCAGGCAGACGTCAGGGTCACCCCAACCATCCTAGGGGGCTCCCCCTGAATCCATGTCGCCCTCTTGCTCTGACACCTCCACATCCCCAGTTTCACTTGCAAGGCAGCTCTGTCTCATGGCTGCCCAGGGCAGAGCCTCTGAACCTGAGTGTGTAAAAATCACTTGGAGGGCTTGAGAAGCCCAGACCGCCGGGCTCCACCCCACAGAGTCTGAAGCAGTGGGTCAGGGTGGGGTCTGAGATGCTGCAATTATGACAAACACCCAGGTGAGCTGACACTGCTGGTCTACTGACTCTTTGAGAAGCAAAGGCAAAGGGCAGACTTTTCAACTGCAGCACTATGGACACTGAGGTCAGATGATTCTTTATCCTGTGCCTTGTAGGAAGCTGAGCAGCATCGCTGGCCTCTGCAGACTAGATGCCAGGAACATCACCCAACCTGCCCCTGCTCCGCAAACTGACAGCGAAAAATATCTCCAGGTGTTGCCAAAGCTTCACTGGTCTAGAGCACCAAAGGCTCAGGTGCCTGTCCGGGATGAGCAGAGGAGGATGCTGTGATTGGTCAGTGATGTCTGCTTCAGGCACCAGCGGGGAGCGTGGTGGTGAGCGTGTCATACGTTTGCCTACTCGGTCCTGGAGTCAATGCTTGACCTCCCGTCCACCCAGAGTCACAGCAGGACTGTTTCGGGCTCAGAGCTAAAGGAAAGGGGAGACCAGCGAGGCTCGCCACACACACACCTTGCAGCCGCCGGCTCAGCTCCTTGGTGAAGAGGACAACAGCCAGCTTGCTCTGGCAGTAGGCTGCCTTAGTGTCATACTTCCTCTTCTCCCAGTTCAAGTCCTCGAAGTCTATGTGCCCAGCAACGTGGGCCAAGGACGAGAGGTTGATGACGCGCGAAGGAGCAGAGGCTTTCAGCTTGTCCAGCAGCAAGTTCGTCAAAAGGAAGTGACCTGGATGATGGAAAACGAAAAGATAACTTTCACTGAGTTCTTGTCCCGTGCATAGGACCATACTGAGAACATCACCTTATTTCATGCTCCCATAACCCATTTTTCTCAACAGGGTCCAACTTTGCGCCCCCCACCAGCAGGCATTTGGCACCACCTAGAGACAATTTTGATCATCACAACTGTGGACAGTAGAGGGAGTGTTTCTGCCACCTAGTGGGTGGAGGCCAGGGATGCTGCTAAAAATCCTACAATGTGGGAGTTCCCTGGTGGCCTAATGGTTAGGATTCTGGGTTTTCACTGCTGCAGCCAGGGTTCAATCTCTGGTCAGTGAACTGAGATCCCACAAGCCGTGTGGCATGTCAAAAAAAAAAAAAAAAACCTACAATGTACAAGACATTCCCGATAACAAATTGTCACAAAGCCTTGTGATAACCCTCTATGAGGTCAGCTAGAGAAGAGATGCCTTCTGTCTCCCAAAATCCTTTCTCCATTTCTTCTTCAGTGATAGAATTTTGGGTTATGCATGAGACTGCCCAGTGAAAGACTACATTTCCCAGACTCCCTTGCAGCTCCATCAGGTCACATGACTGAGTCCCAGCCCAAAGGGGGTGAAGGGTAGTCACATGTGTTATGGGTGAATTGTGTCACCCTCCCCAACTCCCCTAAAAAAATATGCCCTACCCTCCAGTACCTCAGCATGTGACCTTATTTGGAGAGAGGGTCTTTAGAGAGGTGATCAAGGTAAAATGAGGCCATTAAGGTGGGCCTTAATCCTATATGATTGGTGTCCACCCAACGTCCATCACCCTTACTAACGGACTGCAGATGCATTCAGGGTGACAAAAGATAAGCTGACACAGTGAGAGAAGGACAGAGACTGGGGGACAGACAGACAAAGAGACGAATGGCCACGAGGCTGAGGGAAGGTCCAAAGGACTGAGGGTCCAGCGATGAACAGGCGATTCCCTGAGCTGCCAGGTGACCCTGCTCATGGCTGCCTGGCCACATGCAGAGAGGAAGACCCCACCCGGAGCCTGTGTCTGGCCCACGGGGGCTCCTGCTCACGTCCCAGGCCGACGCCACACAGCCTGCAGCCTCACCCAGGTAGTTAACGCCAAGCTGCATCTCAAAGCCATCCTCGGTGGTCCAGTGGGGGCACCGCATCACGGCTGCATTATTGATCAGGATGTGCACTCGCTCCTCCTCTGGAAGACAGGGGTGAGGACAAATGTGTGACTCAGTTTCCCCTTCTGTAATAGGGGTGATGATACAACCTGCTGGGTAGAACAGCTTCGTTATTATCTATTCGACAAGTATTTTCTGCAACCTAAGTGTCCATCGACTGAGGAATGAATAAAGAAGATGTGGTACCTATATACAATGGAATATTACTCAGCCATAAAAAAGAATGAAATAATGCCATTTGCAGCTACGTGGATGGACCTAGAGGATTATCATACAAAGTGAAGTCAGTCAGAAAGAAAAAGACAAATACCATATGATATCACATGTGGAATCTAAAAAAATGATACAAATGACCTTATTTACAAAGCAGAAATAGACTCACAGGCATAGAAAACAAACTTATGGTTACCAAAGGAGAAGCGGGGGAGGGATAAATTAGGAGCTGGGGATTAAAATATACACATCACTATATATAAAATAGATAACCAACAAGGACCTACCTATTGTTTAGCACAGGGAACTATATTCAATATCTTGTACTAACCTATAATGGAAAAGAATCTAAAAAAGAATTTGTGTGTGTGTGTGTGTGTGAGCGTATGTGTATATAACTGAATCACTTTGCTGTACACCTGAAACTACAAAAACACTGTAAATCAACTATATTTCAATAAAAATTTAAAAAATACACACACAGGAATACCCTGGCAGTCCAGGGGTTAGGACTCCACGCTTCTGCTGCAGGCGGCACAGGTTCCATCCCTGGTCAGGGAACTAAGATCCCACATGCCATGCAGTGGCCAAAAAAAGACCAAAAAACCCCCAAAAAACACAAGCTAGCCACAAGAATAGAAGGGAAAAGTTCTGCCTGTAATGATCTCCAAGATAGAACCGGGGAGAAAAAACAAGGGGCAGCACCAGGTATGTAACAGGCTCCGCTTTGTACAAAAAAGCCAAGGGGAAGTGTTTCCCCGTTTGCTTTATAAATGGTCCCCAGAAGGACACACAAGAGGTAGAGCACTGAACACATCTGAGGACGGCATGCTGGAAGCTAATGGCAGGCGTGGCGGGAAGATGTTTTGCTGTATCCCCATTTGCACTTTCTGAACGTTTAACCCTGCAAATGTTATTCCTGTTTGAAAAAAAATAAATTCTTAAGTGGTTCTGAGACCATGTGGTGGGGAGCAAAAGGAGTGAGTCAGGCATCAACGTGACGGAAGTGCAGAGAAATGCCAGCCTGATCCCTGGATTTGCAAAAAGAAACACCCAGGAAAGAATGTGGGAGCTCCAGACGCTCTGCACTAACTCTTAGTTACCTATTGTCACAGCCACGTAGCCCAGCGGCCCGGGCGCTCCTCGGAAGCAGAGCCTGAATCTGACTCACGTCTGTGTCACCTGCGTCACCCAAGAGTCAGAGAGCCTTAGGAAATGTTGGCTGAATCAGTGTTTGTGCCCTTCTCCACCTAACTCTTCCTCCCTCCTTGGCCTCTGCTTCTTGTAGGATCCAAGCACACATAGGACTTAGTTTTCCTAGACAGCAGTCAGTTAACTTCTTCTGTAAAGGACCAGGTAGTATATACTTCTGGCTTTGCAGGCAATATGGTCTGTCTCTACTAAACTCTGCCCTCCCAGGACCAAAGCAGCCACAGATAATACATAAACCAATGGGCATGGCTGCATGCCAATAAAACTTTATGGAAACTAAAATCTGAATTCTGGGAACTCCCTGGCGGTCCAGTGGTTAGGGCTCTGCGCTTTCACTGCCAAGGGCGCCAGTTCCATCCCTGGTCCAGGAACTGAGATCCCACAAGCTGGGGCTTCCCTGGTGGCACAGTGGTTAAGAATCCGCCTACCAATGCAGGGGATGCGGGTTCGAGCCCTGGTCCGGGAAGATCCCACATGCTGCAGAGCAACTAAGCCTGTGTGCTACAGCTACTGAGCCTGTACTCTAGAGCCTACGCTATAAAGCCCACAAGCCACAACTACTGAGCCCACACACCACAACTACTGAAGCCCGTGTGCCTAGAGCCCATGCTCCACAGCAAGAGAAGCCACCGCAATGAGAAGCCCGAGCACTGCGACAAAGAGAAGCCCCCGCTTGCCACAACTAGAGAAAGCCTGCACGCAGCAACAAAGACCCAACACAGCCAAAAATAATAATAATAATAATTAATTAATTAATAAAAAAAAAAAAAAAAAAGAAATCCCAGGACTTCCCTGGTGGTGCAGTGGTTGGGCATCCGCCTGCCAATGCAGGGGACACAGGTTCGATTCCTGGTCCGGGAAGATCCCACATACTGTGGAGCAACTAAGCCCGTGCGCCACAACTAGTGAGCCTGCACCCTAGAGCCCACAAGCCACAACTACTGAGCCCGCGTGCCACAACTACTGAGCCCACACGCCTAGAGCCCATGTTCCACAGCAAGAGAAGCCACCACGATGAGAAGCCAGCGCACCACAATGAAGATTAGCCCCCACTTGCCACGACTAGAGAAAGCCTACGTGCAACAACAAAGACCCAATGCAACAAAAAATAAATAAATAAATTTATTTAAAAAAAAAAAATCCCACAATGCGGCACAGCCAAAATAAGATAAAGTCTGAATTCCATACAATGGTCACATGTCGTGAAATGTTGTTCTTTTCATTTTCTCTCCCCCATGTAAAAATGAAAAATATGTAAATGTGAAAATGTCAGAGAGAAAAAAATGTAAAATCTTTACCCAAAGGCTGAACGAAAACAGGTGGCAACCAATACCTGGCTCTAGGACCTGCCTGGTGTAATTCCCTCCTCACAGCCTGGCCGCCCAAGTCCTCGCTCTACAAGGCCAGTGTCATCCCTCTTACCTTCAATGATCTTCGCTGCAAACTCTCGGATGGACCTAAGGGAGGCCAAGTCCAGGTGCCGGGCGTTGACGCGGTGATTAAGGGTCTCCCCTCGAATCTCCTTGGCTGCTGCCTCACACTTCTCCAAGTCTCGACAGGCCAGAATGATGGTACCTCCTGGAAGAGCCAGACCAAAAAAAAAAAAAAAAAAAAAACACTTTTTAATGAAATTTTTAAAAAAACTTCCACTCCTGAAGCAACCTAAACGTCCATCAGCAGAGGAATGGATAAAGAAGATGTGGTACATATATACAATGGAATACTACTCGGCCATAAAAAAGAACAAAATAATGCCACCTGCAGCAACATGGATGGACCTAGAGATTGTCATACTGAGGGAAGTAAGTCAGACGAAGAAAGACAAATATCAGGTGATATCACCTATATGTGGAATCTAAAAAAAGGGTACAAATGAAGTAATGTACAAAACAGAAGTAGAGTCAGTATGTAGAAAACAAACTTATGGTTACCAGGGGATGGGGGGATAAATTGGGAGACTGGGATTGACATATACACACTATTATATATAAAATAGGTAACTAATGAGAACCTGCTGTATAGCACAGGGCGCTCTACTCAATACTCTGTAATGACCTATATGGGAAAAGAATCTAAAAAAAAAAAAAGAGTGGATATATGTATACATATAACTGATTCACTTTGCTGTACACCTAAACAACATTGTAAATCAACTATACTCCAATAAAAATTTTTTAAAAATTAAAAAAAAAAAATTATACCCCAATAAAGATGTTAAAAAAAAAAAAACTAAAAAAAAA